TTACATTCAGACTCCTAACAACAATTTGTGGTAAGAATTGATCAGATCGAGAATCAGATTATTGTATAGTTGTCATTATTTGCTGTGCCACTGCGTCAACTGAGCAGTTACATGCATGTTTAAATCACAAAATTACTTAATTACCGACGTAAAATTCTAAGAACACACCCACAATCAAATTGTAGCGTCAAAATATTATCAAAACAGGTACCTACTAACGGATGTTTTGATTGGTCATTATCGTATTGTTCGAAAACAACAGATTACGTGGCGAATAATAATGATAATTGATACAATATTGACTACTGCAGTTGTTATTGCTATGCAAATCACAGTATTACTACTGTGTGTATATAGTACATTCGGATTCGATACTAATTCACCTAACAAATGAGGTCCAACCTTTCTCCTTCTCCTATCCTTACCCAATCCCTAAATTTCCGAAACCCAAATCCCCAAAAGGCCGGCAAGGCACTCCTAACTCCTTTGACGTTAAAGGTGTCCATGGGCAGTGCCGATTGCTTGCCATCAGGTTATCCTCATTTGCTCATGTGCCTATTTATCACATAAAAAGCTAATAAGGAATTGATTTTAAAATCATTCTGCAGTTCGTGAAATCTAAACAGAATTTTCTATGTAAACATTCTTTATTCACATCCGCTTATGATTCGTTGGGACGTATCTATCATGACCAAAAACCTCGTTCAAAACGATCAAGCCTTTTAGGAGTTCAATAAAAACAGGTATTTGTATACACACACTAATATTTATCATTATATCAGCTTTTAATTTAATCAAATCAATGCAACCGGATGCCTAATACTTAACACGAAAATTCTATTATGGGTTATCTGTCCAGATTTTGATTGGCGATATTATGACATCATAAAACATTCGATTAAAGATTACTATGAATAGATTAATTTATTTACTGTCTTTTTTAAAGATGTGTGATATGACGTAGCGTATTGATAATGAAATCAACAATAGAAAAATACTACCCCCACGACAGCCGTACGACCACCTCAAGCAGAGTTTACAATAGCCGATGTCCAGTCAGGCTTTAAACGATGCGCTGGTTGGAACCAGAAGAAGGAACAGAGGAGCCCTCTCCTCTGTCTCTCTCTCTTTTCAGTAAGAGACAGACACTAATACTTTGACTAGCGACTAGCGTTTAAATTGAACTAATTGACTTTTTTGGAAAGGCAGCAAATCTTGATCTACAGTCTTAAATCATTTATCGTGAGCGCTGAAAGTCTAAAACAGTCATAATTTCAAAAAAATAATAAGCAATTCAATTGACAAATAAAATAAAATATATCTTTCGACCAGACCAAATCAACAGAATCCTTGGTTGTCTCTTTTTCCACGAATTGAACTGATAGTACAGAACTGGTGAAAGTGGATGATAACTTCTACATAATTCTTGCACTAAATACACCAAAGAATCTGGAAGCTATTTCGTTGTCTTCTTCTTTAATAGTATCTTCTGTTATATTTGATTGTGGGATCCGATGATGACGAACCTTCACATGCAACGGGGACATTCTGAACTTCTTTGTTTCAATATTTTATGATTCCATCTATTATATATATATGGTAGCAACGGTTTTGAGAAATTGTGCCGAGCAGATTCCATAAAAACATCTGCTATATAGTTCATATTATGTACACAATGTTCACCTCTGCTCACACCTTAGAGGATTAAAAGACGTTATACATATTTTGTCGAGAACAATATTATTATCAAAAATAACTTCTAGAAAGCGAAAAAACCGTTATCAAAATCAATAACTCATTTATATTGTATTGCCTTTTTTGTCAAGGAAAATCATCAAATGACCTCTCCCGCCCAGGGTAAGGCGAGAGAGAGAGAGACTCTTACTGACTAAAAACCCCCCGTTCCTTCTCCTGCTCTGGACCGAGGCCGCGGTGACTTATTGCACTTAACCCGCAACCCCGGCTAAACATCAGCCCTATAGGGCCCCTTCTGTGGTGGTCAATTGGCTCTATGAGGCACGCGAGAAACGCTACGCGCCGTTCGCTCAGACCTGGATCTGGTCGAGCGGCGAACAAACCTTACTCGCCGTCCGCAGACCCGCGCTTACGATGGCCGGAGATCGATTGTATTTGCTAAGTAATTATTTGATTTAATTTAAAACTGTAATTTCTTCTTGATCTAATTCATTTATATTGACATTGTATTGACCCCTTTTATTTTTATTTAATTGACAGAATTCAAATCAAAAACATTGTTAAAGAAACATAGCATAGTATTCCGCCGTGTGAGTGAGGTTACCAGAGGCCCAATCTTTCTCCCCCCGTTCCACCAATCCCTCCAAAATATCTAAATCTTTGAAACTCTAATTAATCCCCAAAAAATTCATCCCATCCAATCACGTAAAGAAGTAAGCCAATACTCGTTACTTTCAGAAAATAATTTCACTACCTCATCCCTGGTACAGAATCAAAAAAATAATAAACTATTGAGTATCAAATCTCTCACATGTGATTACTTGTTAAAATAACAAGATAGTTTATTCACTTTATTTCATAAAAAACTTTCTCTTACTGGTTTAAACTAGTAATAACTCCATTTACCTACAGAATGTAATCTTTCACGGACGTTAATAACTGACGTAGGCTATAATTGACCCAGTATCGAATGACTAACTAATCTAGTATCAATGTCATAATCAAAGTAATTATAAATGTAAAGTACCGAATTGAAATATAAAATAATTTTGCCTTTTTTTAAAATAGAGGCTTGTTTTGTAAACTCGGAAGCCGTCTCGTCTTTCTGTGATGCGATCATGATTGCAAAGTAAACTAATAAAATAAACTCCATGCGCCCCGCTGCGCGCGCAGGCGTCGACACTCACGGCGTCGGGAATCGCGCGACGATCTCCGGCCACCGTAATCGAAGGTCTGCAAGGGTCGCCGCTCGCCTCAGTACGACATGTAGCGGCAACGAGGAGCATAAATATCCGAAACACCAGAGGAGTGGGTAGCCCACGGGGTAGCCGGTCTTTTGGGTTTTAGGACTTCACAAATTTAGGGATTGGGGAGGGTCGGATGACGGGAAGGATTAAGCCTCCGGTAACCGCATTCACAAGGCGAAACACAACGCTACCGCTGTGGTTGTTTCACGCCGATTTTTGTGTGGTTCGGTCGGCTCGGCTGTGTTATCACTCCGGTCGAGTCGACTTATTCGTGCCGAAGCTTGACGCTCCCAACTTTTATGTATTTTTGCAGTATCATATTGAATGACTGCACAGTTAACGCGGTGCCTGGGCAGTCGGCTACCGGGCAACGTGATTCGATTCCCGCAATGAGAAACTCTTTGTGTTTTTTAATGGAATAAGTTGGCAAACGAGCAGACGGATTACCTAATGGTAAGCAATCGGCGCCGCCCATGGACACCCGCAACACCGAAGGTGTTACAAGTGCGTTGCCGGCCTTTTGGGGATAAGGGTTGCGGATATAAGGATCAGGAAGGGATAGAAGAGGGGTTAGGATTGGGCCTCCGGTAACTTCACCCACACGGCGAAACATAACGCTGTGGTTATTTCACGCCGGTATTCTGTGAGGCCGTGGTATCACTCCGGTCGAGCCGACCTATTCGTGCCAAAGCTTGGCTCTCCTACACTTATGTGTGTGATCCGCAAATTGATGATACGGGTCTGGGTGTGAAGTGTATGTTTTGTATGAGCTTCTACGACACAGCAGACGAGCCTAATGTAAAAAAAATATTTAAAAAAGTCAATATCAATCCTATGCTTTGATTTTTTATCCCTTTTAAACTAACCTAAATGGTATTGGTCGAAGGAAATTGAAGAAATTATCAGTCTTCCATCCAACTGGGAGGGCTATACTGAGAGTGTGCGCATTTTATTAAAGTATTTATCTATGTAAATCAGATCCAATATAAAGATTATAATTGAGTTATCAAGCAATCTATAGTTATTTCTTCGAATTAATCAATGCTGGTCATAACCGAAATCTTTTTATATGTATACATTCTACTTATGTATGTATGGAAAATCAGAAAAATTTAATCAAGCGTGTGGTGTTTTTGTGTTTACGCTTTTCTATTATTATTTTCTATGTGTGTTCTAAGTATTTTAAGAAAAGGGTTATCAAAAAAAAATAGGCTTGTTAAAGGTAAACAAGATAACTTTAATAAAAAGCACGTTCAAATGCCAACAGGGGAATAAACAAATAGGTACTATTCGTTTTATACGAAATTAAAACATTGAAAGACATGAATAAAAAAAGTAATACCATACATAATATCTCTTTGGCTGCACTGTGTGTATCTACCTAGTTTTGGTATCATTGAAAGTTTAAATTTTAGGAACATAATTCAAAATTCGAATCATGAAAATTTATTAATTTTCATTTGTTTTTCATACTATAAAGATGAGCGAATCTGATGAAGAAATTCGATGCTTTTGAAAATTCTGCCACAAAACACGTAAAAATGCAAAACAAGCCGCGAAAAGAAATTGCTATGTTTATGGACGTTAAAAGGAGGGATGTTACCACCAGAAATGGCCATCAATTCTTAACCCTACTACTACTGCAACTGATTAAAGCAAGAAATTCAGAGAAAGCAGGAGGAATCAATCAACAGAAGGTGGTGTGCAATTTCATCATAACAACGCTAGACCTCACTCATTTTAGCCACTCAAAAAAATGAAGTTTATTTTTTCCGCAACCTAAATATTATATTTTATTATCAAGCAGTTAGTCAATGCACACTTGACTAAAAAAAGTTTAAAAGACCGGCTCAGTGGGTTTTCCAGAAAACTCCAAGCAATAAGCCGGTAAAATCAAAAACATGGCAAAAAACAAAAATCTTTTACCTAAACGGAAACAAAACTAATGGAAACTCCGCCGCATCAAGATAAGATAGAAAAAAGTGTATCAAAAGGCATTGATCGATACAGAAAGACGATAACACAATTCTTTATATATAATGAAGTAGCCAGAACTGTTGAATATCATTTTCTGGTGAAACCGCCACGATGAAGTTCGTTGGTTTACTTGCATTGCTACTGGTGTCTGCTGTGGCACTAGCAGAGGAAGAAGAAGTAGAGGAGGCACCTGAATGTGATCTTGAAGCTTGCAAGCTACCGAACTGCAGGTGTTCCGGCGTTGACATTCCTGGAGGTTTGAGCCCTAGAGATACTCCCCAGGTGAGTTTGAAAGGAAAAGTTCAACCACATTATCATCGTTTACCCAGTCATAAAACGTCTACGAAAACAACTTCAGTTTGGTACGGGTACCTTTTATCTGGCATATCTTTTGTCTAGAGGAGAAAATCATCTAATGACTTCTCCGAATTGAATATATCTCTGTCTCTTGCGGACTAAAAACTCCCCGTTTCCTTCTTCTACTCCAGACCCGGGGTAGTGGTACATTATTACGCTTGCACTACAACCCCGATAGTGTCCAGAATCTTACTTACTTAAAACTAAACCATTTTATCTACCCCTCCAAGCTAGGCCTCGGTAAATCAGTACGCTTGTATCCTCAACTCTGAGAGGACATCTATCCTAGTGGGTCTCATCTGTGATGTGATCTGATTGCTCTAAGAGGCAAAGGCGAAACACGGTGCGAAGCATTATAAAATATTTTAACAGAACACTCCTAATTTACGTTGTTTAGTTATAAGCAAAATTATAGTGATTCCACAGTCAAACTTTACTATTTTTATTTCATAAACTCAATGTAATGTGTTTAATAAATAAAATAAAAAATAAAATCGGTTCTGGTGGTCCGCAAAACTCGCGTTTGGTACACCCTGATAATGTAGTTTTAGGATCTATTCCACAACAGTAACAGGTGGCAAATTCCAAAAAGCTGGCAATGCACTTGTTACACACTCTTTTGATGATTTTTTTTATACGTTGACATTTCTTGGTTATGATAGCCATCGGGGGATCTGTCTGATCGTTTAATATCATATAAAACAAGATGCATTCAATTTGGTGTGTACCTCTGCCTACACCCGTTTCTACTTCTTTTATATTTTAGACTGCACAGTCGGTGTCTGGGCCGGCAGCAACGTGTAGCGGATTCGATTTCCGCACGGGACAACTCTTTGAGAGATCCAAAAATCGTTGTACAGATTGTTGTTCCGGGTCTAGGTGTGATGCCTATGTAAAATTGTATAATTGTAAACCCACAACACAGAAGCAAATTGTAGTGATAGGATAGATAAAAAAAATGAGTAAAAACGTATTAATCTTAGCTGCTAATTGTGTTTTGAAGAAATACGATAAAATCAGAATCAGAATTAGTTCTTATCTTTCACCTACATTTCGGTTTCCTTCAGAGATTATTATACAATCACAGTTAATTTAAATTCCTTTTTTATCATTGCATTTTTAATATATTTTCAATCATTTTGATATACAATTTCACTGTTTGCCTATTCTACAAATGATATGCTTTAACAAAAAATCTAATATTTTATGATAATTTGGGGAAAGACACATTAACGAACAATGTATGCCCCTTATTTTTTTAATTCTATGTATGCATATTACATGTATTGAAAGTGTTTAAATGTTATGTGTCTAAAGTAAGAACATACAATGAGAGCTAAGTGAATATTTACAATTGTAGAAATGTCTTTTTCTATTTTTAGCTATTTTCATACAATTTCCGCCAGCGGCTTCAGGCGCCGTCCGGGTCAACAGAAGCATAATATGTTCCAGATTATTATCTGTCTTGGTACCAAAATTCATTAAAATCAGTGTAGTTGTTTTTACGAGAAAGAGTAAAAAACGTCCAACCATCCACATACTTACACACGCCGTGTGTTAGTATTAGTAGGAATAACCCACATTTTATGTTCTTCAAATAAAAAGTCACTAAATCTTATTATCCATCTATTTCTTTTTCCAGTTCGTCACCGTTACTTTCGACGACGGTGTCAATGTGAACAACATCATTACCTACCGTAACATTCTGTACAACCGTTTCAACTCCAACGGTTGCCCTGCTGGAGTCACTTTCTTCGTCAGCCATGAGTACACCAATTACGTCCTCATCAACGAACTCTACAACCGCGGTTTTGAAATCGCTCTTCATTCCATCAGCCATCAAATTCCTCAAACTTACTGGCGTGATGCCACTTATGATGATCTGAAGAAGGAAATTGCCGACCAGAAGGTCCAAATGTCTCACTTCGCTAACATCCCATCCAATTCTATTAAAGGTACGTTTATGTTTTTTTTTTGCTTTGGAATAGTTAGACTGTAAAAGCTATTGATTTGTGGATGAGTAACTATTAGTATAGCTTATAAAAACAAACATTTAGAATTATTTTGTTTTTTTTACTGCAATGTTTTCTGTGTCGACTAAAGTATTATTACGAATTAACAATACTAACTAAAGAGAGAACGTAGAGTCATTCTACGTCATGACTCTCAGTCTTACGACAGTACAGACCATTGAACAGACTTCTCAAAATTTACAACACTTATAATGCTACATTGTGATACATAGTCGGACATAAAAGTACAATTTTGAATACGATAGCAGCTTTTGAAAGATTTTTTTACTTTTAACTAATGTTTTTGCAATTTTCTTATTGAATACCAACACTTTCACTAAATCTCCATTTTAAATACATCGTTCAATATTTTAATCTCAAACTAATAACTTTTCAGGTGTGCGACTTCCCTTCCTCCAAATGGCTGGAGACAACAGCTTCCAAGTTATGGCTGATTATGGTTTGGAGTATGACTGCACCTGGCCTACCACTACCCAAACCAATCCTGGACTCTGGCCTTACACTCTAGACTACAAATCTAACCAAGACTGCGTTGTGCCACCCTGCCCAACCTCTTCCATTCCTGGAGTCTGGGTTAAGCCTATGGTTGCATGGTCTGATCTTCAAGGCGTAGCTTGTTCCATGGTAGATGCTTGCTTCTTCATGTAAGTGTCCTTTTCATTCTTTGTGTTAAATACAAATAGTAATAACAATACAAAATTTTACAAAAAAAAAAATACATTATAATAACAATACAAATTTTTCCGTGGTGAGTGATTTTCTGAGCTTCCCCCAGTTTTACCATCTCTTCTGTGCCTTTAAGGCTTAAGTCATTCTCTGTCTCCTGCATTAAATTTACCGAGAGAAGTGGAAACTATTTAGTTTTTTCTTCGACGCGCCGGACTTCAGTGTTCCAGTGTTTTCATGTTTGTATCTACTGAAGATTCTGGGTAACGGGAGTTGCAGCCGTTTTGGGAGGTTTCGGCGGGCTTGTCTCAAATAAAAAAATTCTTTGTGTTAAAACCAAATCTGAAATTCGTCACAACTTACTCTGTATTGGATCCAACTCCATGTTTTATTTATTATTTAGTTGAATTTATCATCTAAAAAGAAAGATCAATAATTGTCAATTCCGATCAGGAACTTTTGAGTTTAATCGTTTCATCGAGTATTATCAGTAAAAACCTGGTCACCTCATTTAGGAATTCTCAGTTAATTAAAAGATTTTATGTACATTTTGTTCTGCGTATGTATCACTTGGATCTCCTCCTTTTAACTTCTCATATTATTATTTCATTTCAGTCCCGACCGTGAAAATGAAGAAGAATGGTTCAAGTTCATCATGACCAACTTCGAGAGGCATTACTTGGGCAACCGTGCTCCCTTCGGTTTCTACGTCCACGAAGCCTTCATATCTGCATACCCCGCTGTACAGCGTGCCTTCGTTCGATTCATGGATGTCGTGAACAACTTGCCTGACGCTTTCATGGTAAAATTTTTAACTTTTTAGAGTCGATTTTAATAACACTCAATAAAAAACATATGCTGATTACATGTCAATTATTAAAATATGGCATCTGCAACTAGCCAAATTTTTACTTAACAAAACTAATCTAGTCCACAAGCCTTGTCGAATACAAGTCGCAAGTTGTTCGAAATTTATCAATGACATACAATATCAGACACCCAATCGCTTGGCCGTTGAGATACCAGATTTTAATAAAAATCAAACAAAATCCAATTTTATAATATCGTCATCAGCTTATTAGTGCCTACTGCTAAGCAAGCACTCTTTTCACACGGAGAAGTAAAGAGCATCGATCATCACGTTTGCTCAAGGCGGATTGGCGATTTCAAACTTATAATTTGAAATAATAAGTCCAGGTTTCCTCACGAAGTTTTCCTCCACAGTATGTTAGCAGGGTCTTAATAACCATATAAAGTACTCACATTAGTAATTGCCAGATTTCGAAACCCGTTCATGCTGGAGACGCCGCCGCCGTTACTTCTGGGTTACTGCGACGTTAATTAGTGAAACGGTAAATGCAATTTGCTAAATAAAATCATTTTACATCCACAGGTGAACGCCCATGAAGTCATTGACTGGGTGAAGAATCCTGTACCAATTGATGTGTACAAGAAACAAGGCTGTCGCAGATTCACCCCCACCAACTGTAACATCGCCAGCTGCTCCCCTCCTCCTGCTGCTCACAATGGCGTACGTACCCTCCTACCATTAGTCTTTTTTTAAATAATAGGGCGGCAAATGATCATACCTTTCACCTGAGAGGTGTTCAGAATACATTGCCGGCCTTTTGGGGATCGGAGATTTCGGGCGAGGATAAGCATTGGGCTAGTATAACCTCGTTCATATGGTGAAACACAAACGCTGTGGTTGTTTCACACTGGTTTTCTGTGAGGCAGTGGTATCCTAACCCATTTGTGCTAGAACCTTGTCTCTCCTATTAGTATTAAGAATACATAGGTTGAAAGCTCTTGCAGCAGTCAACCAAGTTATTTGGCATGCAGTTGTCACCATTGGTTAATTTTATCTGAATGCCAAATAGTACATTAACGACAGCAAGTTCGTCGCCATCGTAAAAATTTTGGAGGACGGTGGTTATTGTAGGTTATTTTTTCCAGCACGTCGATTCTATAATTTTTTTTTTAATTTGAATCGTGTTCGAGTGCGAAGTGAGCGTCGAAGTGACGAGGAAATTAAATTTTAGAATGCCACTTTTAACGTCATCTTATACTTTATCCATCAAAATGTTGCTGTCAATTTAGTTCAACTCGCAAGTGTAGCGCTAGTGTTCTACTACTCACAGCGGATTCAGATTCGAAATTTAGAATGAAGTCTTACAGAATCACACTGCTGAATTCTGTTTTGGACAAGAAAGCTGTGGACTATATTTATGGGATTTGCATTATTTTTTACTATTTTTTTTTTTTAGTTCGAATCGTATAAATTATTTTTTTATTATAATGAATGTTGAATTTGTGTGTGCCTGTTATGATTTATTTGATAATCATAATCTAGAATATGCATTTTTTTCATTCAGGTGCAATACTGGATGCAACTCTGCAACGTTTGCCCACGTGTCTACCCATGGCTGGGCAACCCTCTAGGCCAGTAAATACATCGACATAAAAAGTTTCCACAATAAAAAATACATAAAATTCAATTGAGTTTTTATTTATATATTTCATTAGTACTTCCTGAAACAACAAATATTTGGCGTCTTACTGAAAATGAATACATATTATTATTATAAAATTGTAAAAGTCTGCACATGGAAGATTATTTTACCGTCTATATTTTCATATCATAACTAGCTTCCGCCCACGGCGTCGCCCGAATGTATAAAAAGCAAACTCTTAAATGTTACTCCAGGATCTCACCTTTTTTTGTCAGGGGAAAATCGTCTAATGACTTCTCCCGCCCTAGTAAGGCGAGAGGGAGTGTCAGAGTCTTCCTGACTAAAAACCCTGCAACTGCTTAAACGGCTAGGCCGATTTGTTAAAAAATTAGGATATCACCTATCTAAATACTAAATTTTGTAACAAAACAGGCAAGCCGTTTTTGTGTCGAAGAATAACAAACATACATCCATATACTCTCATAAACTTTCACATTTATAATATTATATAGCAGGATAGTAGGATAGAATGACCAACAAGTCTATGCCACGTTTATACCTGTTTAAACTTGTTGACACGACGATTGCAATAAACAATTTACAATCATGATTTATTTGTGAACTTTAGATGACTTCTGGCATTGTCTTCAGGTGACGCCGTGGTGGCCTAGAAGTACCGGCTTCTTCTTGCATAAAGATACAGGCTTGAAACCTGCAAAGTAGTAAGCTGACTTTTTCCGAGTCATATGTACTTTCTTTGATTATTTAGACACAACTAACATGCAGTGAAGGAAAAATTGTGAAGAAATCTGGACTTATTATGTCTTATTGATATTATTAGACTGAGCAAGCGTGGTGACATTGTTAGAAAAGGCATTAACTCAGCAGTGGACACTTAAGGGCTGATGACGACATGAGATGTTTTACTTGTACTCCTATGTTTAGAATGTCTTATATCACAGTTTAAATCGAAGCAGGAGTTATTAAGAATTACGGGGTGGCTGTTCAACCAGGAAGTCACGTCGCCCTTCGCCTTTCCCATAAAAATGATGGTCCCAGCCCAACATAAAACAATTTATTACCACCTAATGTTAATATTTACAAATTCATTAATCTCCTTCTCTCGTCTTTAATTATTTTTACATACGTATCTTATATGTATTTACGTAATAATTGATCAGTATGTAAATGTATCAGGTTGCCGGAGCAGTACATTCTTACAAATATGTATGATACGAGTAGTTATGATTTTGAGTACACTATGATTTTGAGTCTGATGTCTACTTTATGGTATGCGGTGGCAATCCTGACGGCTAGTAGTAGGATTCGCCACCTGTTTCAGCGCCGTTTCTTTCTAGGAATTAGAAACGGGGAAAAAATAGAGGATCGAGGCGTAATCACACTCACGCGGCAGTTTTCTATTCTATCACATCGGTCGAGCTAGACCATTCATGACCAAGTATGTTAAGACATGACTTATTTTTTTCTGAAATAGCGAAATAAAAAACAATATTCATGTTCATTAATAATTCAAGATATTGATATTCAAAAAACTATTGCCTGAATTGACTACCTTACCTAAACTTCCCAGTCTGCGATCTTCAACTCAGTATTCTTTTGTAAATAGAATATAGAATATTGTTATAAATAAAAGAAGGTGGTAGCCTAGCAGCGGATTGGCATGAGCAAATAATGTTCATATATTGAAAGGGTACAAAGTTCGCTAGTAGAATTTCCTCTAATAAACATTTCTAATCGAAGAGACGATTTTTCTTACATATATCAATAATAGGTGCTTCCAGGAAAGTATACCTATCATTACACGTTTTGGTTAGCAATGACACTGTACTACAATGATTCACAGTAAAACGATAAATACGATAATCAATAAATTTTAAAGATTAAAACCATCTATATAAATATCAAAAAACCTTACAGTAATCATTAGGTGTAAAATTTTCAGAATGAGGGTGACTATACTAGTTTCTGTATTATTTTTGGGGCTGGTGTCAGCTGAGTTACCATTGGCTAAAGAATGCAACGAAGAGTTGTGTAAGCTGCCTAACTGCAGATGTTCGTCCACAGACATTCCTGGTGGATTACTTCCAAGAGACACTCCTCAGGTGAGTTTTTATAAATCAGGTGGTATTGGACATAATACCTAAAGTAGTGTACGTAGACTCAAAGTTTACACTAAGTGTGGGAAGGACGCTCTCTCACACTTTGCCATGATTGAAGTGATGCTATGGCCTCATAAAGGCCGTAATAAATGAAGCAACACTGGCGTTTTAAAAATAAAAACCTAAAAATCGGCAACACATTTGTAACTACTCCAGTGTTACCAATTGCTTACCAACTAAGCGATACTGCTGCTTGCTTATCCCATAAAAAAGTGGTATGTGAGTGAGGTTATCAGACCTTACAGTAAGTGGCAAAGACAAGACAAATAAATCGTCCAATCATATGTAGTACTGTGTCGTCCACACTAATCATAATATGTGAAAAAAAAATTCATGCTGATAGAGGAATCGTCATGTTAATCTAAATTACATAATATCAAATGACTAATCACTACTATGTGACAAAGATTAAAGGTCATGTCATAAAGACCAGGATTGTTTTAAATGATTTCTTCTTTCAGTTCATTACACTTACCTTCGACGATGGAGTCAACATCAGAAATATAGAAACATACAGAGATATTCTTTACAATCGCACGGGTGCTAATGGTTGTCCTATTGGAACTACATTTTACGTTAGCCATGAATACACTGATTATGCACTTGTTAATGAACTGTATAATCAAGGATATGAAATCGCCTTACACTCGATCAGTCACAGAACTCCTACTGACTTTTGGGCATCAGCCAGCTATAAGGACATAAAAGAAGAAATTATTGACCAAAAGGATCTTATTGCTCATTTTGCCAACATTCCTCGTGAAAGTATAAGAGGTATGCTTTATAAACATCGTCTCTTTATCTATTGATCACAGGCTAATTAGATCATGGAATAAAAATGCTGAGATCACAATGTACAAAGAAGTAGATAGTTCCATGGTTCCACCTAAAATTGTTTCATTCTTAACTTCATTTAAATTTTCCAGGCGTCCGTTTACCGTTCCTACAACTGGCTGGCAACACAAGCTACCAAGTAATGGCTGATCATGGATTAGAATACGACTCTTCCTGGCCCACTAGTGCCTTATTAAATCCTGGTCTTTGGCCTTACACCCTAGACTATGCCTCCATTCAGGATTGCCCCATTCATCCTTGCCCAAGTGCTTCTATTCCAAAACCTTGGGTACAACCAATGCTGTCGTTCAGAGACGAATTTGGGTTCCCGTGTGCTATGGCTGATTCGTGCTTTTACACGTAAGTTTTTACTATACCGTTATGTTCTTCTGCCATATATATACTCTAAAATATTATAAGCAACCTTCGAGCATTAAATGCAAGTGTTTATGGTACTCTTGGAGCTGTTCTCTGAGGCTGATATTGATGATGATTCTCTGTATCCATATTATAACCTTTATGTTTTTTCTCTTTCAGTCCACAGTTTGATGATGTAGACGCATGGTATAAGTTCTTCATGAGAAACTTTGAGAGACAATACCTAGGCAACCGTGCCCCTTTTGGTTTCTACATACACGAATGGTACCTTGTAGCTTACCCTGGAGTTAAAGCCGCTTACATCAAATTTCTTGATACAGTCACATCATTGAACGACGTCTTTTTGGTAAATAATGACTTCTATACTTATATGAAATATATCAGAAATTTTATCTACCACGTGGAATAGTGTGATAAGTTTTGAATATATAGGAAATATTTCCCTTTAACGGTGTGCACTATGTCCCCAACAATTTTGTCATCTCGTCCAAAATTCAAATATCGAAGAATCTCTACATGTAATATTATTGTCCCAGATATAAACACAAAATCCATGTTTGGATATTATATTTTTTATGGTATAAGTCGGCAAACGAGCAGACGGATTACCTGATGGTACCAACACCAAAGGAGTTAGGAGTGCGTTGCCAATCTTTTGGAGAATGGGGTTGCGGATATTATTATCGGGAAGGGATAGGGGAAGGGGCGGGATTGGGCCTCCGGTAACCTCACTCACACGGCGAAACACAACGTTGTGGTTGTTTCACGCCGGTATCCTATGAGGCCGTGGTATCACTCCGGTCGAGCCGACCCATTCGTGCCGAAGCTTGGCTCTCCCACACTTGTAATCTCTATTGTAACACTACTATTAATAATTCTGATAACATAATATTGTTTAGGTAAACCATGGCGAGGTTTTAGACTGGGTTAAAAATCCAGTCCCTCTGAATGAGTACATGAAGAAACCCTGCAAGACTTGGACTCGGACCGGCTGTGATCCAAATCCTTGTCTTTGTGTAGCTGAACACAATCAGGTAAATCTTTTTTTATGGGATTATTGTGAGAGATTTACAGTTAGGAGGCTTGGAGATTGAGGATGGGGGGAAGGAATGGACCTCCAGTAACCTCACTCACACGATGAAACTTGGCTTGACTGCACGGTTGGCTCGGTGCGCAACGTATCACGAGATCCCCAAATTTTTATTCCGGGTCTAGGTAGCTTGTGTGTGTGAAATTGTTGTTTGTAAACGCACCCTCAACACAGGAGAAAATACTAGTATGGGGCAACTTTTTTCTAAGATAAACACAATGCAAGTGTTTGAAGTTCGTTTCACGCCGGTTTTCTGTAAGGCCGTGGCCGTTATCACTCCGGTCGAGTCACCCATTCGTGCCGAAGAATGGCACGCCCACATTTAAATGTATTATTTAATATATAATTTATTAATATTTTTTGTCATGAACTAATATATAACGTTTTATTTTACAGAATATGTACTATTTTAGTATGTGCACCAAATGTCCACGTGTATACCCGTGGGTGGGCAACCCACTTGGATTATAACAATTTTGAAATATAATAACATAATTCCTTCGTTTGAGAAGACGTTTTAACCCGTCAGCGGAACAGCTCTATAAGCTCAGGTGATCAGAATCATGAAGACTAATTTATTTTAACATATTGTTGTGTATTTATTGAAATAAGACCTTGGAAATAAATTGATTTCTTTAACCTTAAAAAATGGAGTTCAACCTTTACCTGTTAGTCTCTAGTACTGTACCTAGCAAATTTATGATAAAATTTACATATTTAATTTGCCAGCTTCGCGCGGTACTCTAAGTCGTACACTTCTACTCGTGAATATAAACTCCAGCGAGGCTTGAAACTAGTCCAGTTAACTCGAAAAACAGTAGCCTTTAAACTTAATAATTAATCTTATATTGCTGCTTTTAAAAGTAATAAACAAACCGTAGCTGTTTTGTTTGAATCCGGTCATATAGGCACATTAATAATCCTACTAATATTATAAATGTAAAAGTTTCTGATAACGTGTGTATGTATGTTTGTTATTTTTTCACGCCAAAATAGCTGGGCTCGGTTGGGTAAATTTGGTGTGTAGATAGGTGATACCCTTTTTTTTGTGAGGGGAAAATCATCAAATGACTTCTCCCGCCCAGGGTAAGGCGGGAGGGAGTGTCAGACTCTTACTGACTAAAAACCCCCCTGTTCCTACTCCTGCTCTAGGCCGAGGTCGCGGTGCCTCATTGCGCTTACCCCGCAACCCAAGATAGGTGATACCCTGGGTAAACACATTGGTTTTTTATTAACATACTACGCAGCTGAAGCTGCGGGCGGAAGCTAGTATTTAATAGGTATGTGCAAATCGTAATTTTATAAAAAAATAATGACATGTGACTTTTTATTATCGAATTAAATATGAGTGCTTGAAAATGCAATGATAAATAATTGGTGATAAGATGAAGTTTGATAATCACAATATGGACGAAATGTAATTATTGACACACCTAGGATTAGCAAGTTGTATATCTATTGCACTGATTCATCGATTGATAAGATAGTTAATTACATACACCGATTTGATAGGAAGTAGTAAAAGTACGCAAAATTTACGAGTACTTTTGACTTATATAACTAAAAGGAGTTTGTTTTATTTTTTAAAACGGGCTAGCACTATTCAAGAATGGAATTTTACGCGACTAATAACAGTAGTAGTCGCCATATTCGCTGGCGACTGGTACCTATGACTGGTATCATAGGTAGGCACACTGTTCCAGCGTACACGGTTTATATTAATCTACATTCTAAAACGAATTCTTAGAATTCAGGTATCAATATAAATTAGTTTCACTGCATTATTTGCACTTGCAACCACAATGACGTTAGAAATAAAACTCTAAACGTACCTAATTATCTAGATAGGTCTTAAAAACAGCCATAGTGATAGTTTTTTAGCTTGGTTCTTAAAAATTACTCAGAGGCAAGAAAAAATACACTTAAAATTCGATATTATATGGTTAAATAAAAACCTTAAAATCTGTTTCTTTTTTTGAAATACACATTACATCCTGCAGCTAGTCCGCTACAAAAATTAATTATGATCGTATAGAAGTATACATATACTAATGATAGAGACTACAATACATATAATATTTCGAAGCTCTTGGCTCCAGGGCCAACAACGTAGGAATGCAGAGCAATGGAATCCTTTAGAATGCTCACGAAAGCTTCTACTCAAAAAAAAGTCGACATGTTTAAAGAAAATTCAACTTTGCAAACCAGTAATTGGTGCCATTATCTGTAAACAGCTGATAGGAACGATGCATATATCATAGTAGTTAATATCATCATAGTAATCAAAACTCTGTCGATAAATTCATTATCAACAGAATTAATCTGTTTATCGATAACTTCCTTATTTTTTGCAGTAAATCGTATAAAATGCACCTACCGTATATATTTATATAGTATATATAAGTACCTACCAAATACACCTGCTAGAATGAGAGATACCATTGTTTTCTCAATAGGTATGTATTTTTTAAACTCCATTAGGGCCATCTTATTAGAAAACTTACCTAAACAAACTGACAGGATTCGCGTATTAAGGGTTCCATTTCAAAACTTGAGAGCCTTAATAAGCCTTATAAATTTGTGTATGTATTAAACATGTTTCATATTCAGCTATCACGGTTTATGGATAACGGTCTGGTCATTTTGAAGAATGTTCAAGGGAGCTGTACGACTTGATTCCTTGCCACCATTGTACCACCAGACAATTGGCAAAACGTCATCGCTTGATGTTGGATATCCCACCCAAACACACGAAACGGTATGCCTCCAGTTATATTATCAGAATCCCGAAAGAGTGGAATTCTTTGCCAGAGTCTGTATTCCCCGAATGCTATAACTTGGTTGTCTACTTCAAAGTTCAAGCGAAGAGGTTGCCTATAGGCAAGCGTGCAATGTCGTAAAAAAAAAAGAAAACAAGAATGTTTAAATAAAGAACACATTAATCTAATACATTTACTTTATTCCATTTACATCAAATAGTAACTATTCCATATCCAAAATGGTAAATACTAAAACTTACCTCAAAATTGTTTCAAGTTAAATTACATAGGTTTTAGACTAAATTACAGTCAGAAATGTTAACTTTAAATACAGACGTAATCCAACTGTTTCCTCAGAGGCATTTAATGATTACTTAAACAATTCTTTAGTAATGATTTTGTATCAAAAACCAGTGCTAAAAACTGGGTTGATTCTCCTTCAAATGGCTCTGAGCACGGCAGTTTTACATTATGAAAAAGGTTGAATTACCTTTTTGCATACAAAGAACATCAAGTACGATGGGTTCGAGAAGGATCACTTTAATAAATCTTCAATGGACGCGACATTCTACAAAGTATCGTTAACTAATACTGAGTTAACATAGCTTTCAATTTCTACATAAATATTAAGTACTAAAATATCATTGGTGATACGTTTGAGTCAATGAGTAAAATCACTTAACACTAATTTACAGTAGACGATTTAGATTTTCTTACATTTGACATTATATAGATAATATTAAAGTTGGCAAGTGTAAAATTTTGTTTGATTACTATACTTTCTCGAAGTTCTATAAAAACAAATAGGCTGATAAAGATCTAGAAGTTTCAAGACATGGAAGTAATACAGAGAATACAAAAGAAAATATACCATCAGATGAGGAAATAAAGTTTGAAATTGAAGACGAAAGAAACACTGTTACATAAATAGAACGTCGAGAAAAGCAGAATCCTTAAGCTAAACACATAGTACATCTATATATTTTACATAATATGACTATAGAGTATTTACAAATAACATTGACGGTTACATATCAAAGATTTCGTAGAAGAAGTTATCGCTAAAATGAATAAAGCTATCACATTCCTAACACAATAAGTTACTAATACTAGCTTATTAGGTAAAATATTTACAACTGACGATTTTGGAAGCAGTCCTATGAAATACGTTGAGAAAACTAGCCAAAGAACATTAATACCAAAGACCAATGTTAGTATGGTTCATTTTACCAAAACAATACTTGAAGATGGGAATCCGGACAAAATTGTTGATGTACAGAAATCCTTTAATAGTTTTCAATAAAATATTAAGTCCATAATGTAATTGTGCGTCTATTTTTTATAAAACTTTTCAAAAAACTGCTTACTGTAGGTACTTAAATTAATCCATGACATAAAAATATCATGGTATGAACGAAATCATCTTCCTCATGAGGTAGAAAATTAATATTTACATTCGGCACATAAATAAGAAGAAAATGCCTCGATCCTTATTCTACAGTTATTAGAATATCAACATAAGCGCTATATACAACTTTGTACATTTAAAAAGTAAAATAAGTTAGTAATACTGTAAATAATTTTAAAGCTTAATCTTCAGAAAATTAAATGTCATCTAAATAACTAAATTTAAATTAATAATCAGTCAGCGCTTTATAATAAGATTTTGTTAATTTATTAATTAATTAATTAAAACAAATTTACACCCAACATTCTAAATGGCATATGCACTACTATAAAACAAAAAACAGATGGCGGTGAAGTCAAAAATTTTCAGTTTGAATTAAATAAATTTTGATCATAGCAGTTATCAAAGACTTGAAATAATTCATAAAGATAAAATTTAGATCAATTAGACCCACCCAGATATAGATATGAAGTAAATAACAGAGAAAGTCCATCAGATCAAAATTTCGAAGAGAGCATTATAATAAAACATTTCTACAATCCTCTGTGACTCTCCGGGTAAGATGTCTTACAAATAAATATTGAAATTAGCTTAATTTAGCTTATGAATCCAATTAGATTATGTTATAAAATATTAATATTTGAGTCTTCATCAAAATAACTTCATAGAAACGCATTAAACCAAGTGTTACAATTTCTTATTGCTCTTTCTTTCATTATTACTGCATCATTTAACTTAACAACAACTAGAAAACCATATCCTTCTTCTTCGTCGAAATAACCCATTTCATTGCCATCAACTTAAATAAACTCAACTAAATCCAAAAGCCTCTTTCAATTCGCATTAGTCTCCTCAACTATATCTAAATTAACATTGGCATCATTACAAATTACAAATACTCAAGGTCAGTTTTATAGCTCTTTGATAATTTAAACATGATTTTATCTGAACGGCAGTAAAGATTTATTTAGTTTCCCTTCATAATTGATCTGATAGATTGTAGGTCTGAGTATCTGAGAGACTGTAAAACTGGCTATTACACAAACTTCTTGCCAATTTTAATTTTCTTTAATTACAAACGTGATGATCTCGTTTAAACCGACAGATTTCACAATGGACTTTGCAACACCAGACGAAACGGCATCTACATTTTTCTTCGTGATCTCGCACCCTGGTTTGGTATCCTCTTCCACAGCATAGTAGGCGACAGCCATCAAGACCAGCTGACGTTCTATTGCAAGTACGGCCACGAGTTCCTAATATGCCTAGCCTATGGACATAAAACATTGTGTTACATTTTTTTTAATAAGGGCCTAATAGTGCTCCTTGGGTTAACTATTTCTTTGTAACATTGGTATTGAATACATACTAGAAACTGACTGAAGAACCATTTTGAAAAGAGCAAAAATGTATCTTAGTAAATACCCCATGTGTTGATTTAAAAACTTTCTTAGAAGTTGTGCAAATTTTTATGTCATATATAGTCTAGAAAATAAAATTATACGACATCAAGACCGCGATGTAATCGCCTTTTTCGAGAGTTTAATCAATTTGTTTTGCAAAGGAAAACAAACTAAGAACTTACTCGTCATTGGGTTCACAATAGTCTGGCGAGTCCTCCAAATACACAAGATCTGTCTTATTAGGTTTCTTCATGTCCATGTGTAGCGGTCGCAGTTTCCTTATATTCTTGCCTCTCTTGCGCTCAACCACCTGGAATTGTTTGTTGAATATTTAATTACCATTTAATATGCAATTGCTTAGATTGAATCGCCTTCTAATGTATTGAATTTAAATCTACCAAACTGTAGTCTAACACAGTATAGGTTTAAACTGGGTGTAAGAAATAAGAATAAGAAGAAAATTGAAACTAACTTGACCAACCTTGACGTGGGAAGCTCCTTCATATCTGGTAGATAATGCATCACCAACCATGCGCAGTTGTGGTAGACGACGCCAGCAGACACGAACTGAGCAAGATCCGGACATACCGTGACATTTGCAGACACGCTGCATACGGCCGCGGACAGCCTGTAAAAATAAAAAGGGTAAACCATTAAAATCACAATGTGACAGATTCTTTAAAATTTGTCAGGTCAGGTAAATGCGGTTTAAATTAGTAAATCTTTTACATTTAAGACTACTATTTTTTTACTTCGGCCTTAAATACAACAGAAGTACACTGTATTTTATTCTTACTTTGTTTTTATTAAAAAAATGTTAGTAGAATGTCTGTGGAGTAACCCACAATACCTATTGACGATGCTGAATAAAAATAATTCTTATCAACATGAAGATAAACTAACTACTCCCTAATGATATATACATAAAACCTACCCGTCGTCCAGCCTCATTGTTGTGTAGGTTCACCAGTCCCTCATCAGTGTTCTTGTCCTCTTTGGAATCCGAGAAGTCTTTGCTGAACATCTCTCCATATCTTATGTCCTGGAAGATATAAGAAGTGATGATTTAGTCACTTTCCAAATTGTCCTTTTAAAACTTAATTGTACAATATCTACAAATGAAAACTGTACCATGTTTGGAATCGTATAAAAACGATTGTTTTATCAATTAGTATCATTTTAGACATTATTTCTTCGGTTTCGTTTCAGACTCATTCTCCAAGTCTCAGGTTGTTTGACTCGAAGAGCCACATCCTCATCGTATGAACCAAATCATGAATCAGTCAAAAGATAACCAAAACTTACTTCAGAACACCCTCCCCATTGCCAGTGCCTAGGGGTACGCTTTCTGACACGTGAGTCACAAGAGCACTCGTTGAGTTCACCACGGGAACAGGCGCGTGCCACCGCATGCGCCAACGCTGCCGCTGACAGAGCGTGCACGAATGCTGATTCACGAGATTCTGAAAGGATTTGGAAAATTGTGAGTAAGTATAAGTAATTTGGTAAAATGACAGGACCAAAAAGGCAACCTAGGACTAGAAAGGATATGAAAAATACAGCAAGTTCCCAAATAAAACATTAACAAAAAGGTTGATAATTAAATGGTTAAACGGATGAAGACATATTTTATACTATTTTTTGTTATAAGACAAAATCAATTAATTTGTCCCGGCCTATTGGGCCTCGTCTGTGGTCAACTGTTGGATGGCAAGATGAGGACGCTATGGCGCCACTAGCCACTCCTTGACAGAAGAAGAAGAAGAAGAGTCTTACTGACTGCTGGTTACTGGTGGGTGATACCAGTATTAAGTACCTAACGTAAATGATAAAAAAAAAAACAAAGTGAAGTCAGCAAATTTAGGCTGGCACACGAATGATATAATGATGTGGTAGTATAGGTAGAATGGAGACAATCACACTGCATCATCATTGTTAGATATTTAAATAACCAGTGTAACATCTACCGGCTAATAAGATGATAAGATTGTGTTTGTTAAATATTTTACACTTCTTTGTCTATAGTCACCAGATGTCTATTCAATTCTCAAGATAATTCCATTGTTATTTCCTCTCACGTTGCAAAATTTAAAACATTGACTCCTTTTTGAAAACAATAGCCATTACAAAACAGATGAATCGAACAAAAACATGGTATAAAATCTAATTCCGCTAAATCGATTGAAATTCTAAAAATGAAACAGAATATCTACGCAGAAGTTCGTTGACCACTAATCTTTGATGCAACCAATGATTTAGATCCTTTAAAAGGCATACAAATAAAACTTGACACCCACGAAGCTGAAGGAACAGAGGGGAATGGAAGGTCAACGCAGCTGGTTACGTTGTAGTACTTTACGGTAAACAACCTGAGCTGCTCCATCAACAACACCCAGACCGAGTAATCGACATTTGAAAATAAACATTTCACGTCTAAGACGATGAAGTTCTATGAAATTGTTCTCGATGTAAACTTATACACAAACTTTGATTTTGATCAGCAACGGAAGAACCCGTCACATGGTACGCTCAGTTTCTCGTTTGTGGAGAATAATAGTGGAGCAAGTGCATGTCTTTGTGCATCTTGTCGTTTCACTAATGGATGTGGAAGAGTGGATCGAAGGAATATACCGGTTATTTAAGAACACATCGGTGTGCATTGATAACTTCTTACTAGAGTTCATTAATGAATGTGGTTTTTAAATTAAATTTGATAAAGTATATTTAAATAACATCAAAGATTTAGACTTGTATTGAATACTCTGTGAAACTTATTTTTATTTTATTTTATTTCTGCAATAGTTACCATTGAAGCGATAAAACGTTTTTACTATTGAAGGTTAGCGTGCTTCTAGTTCTGCTAAAACGAAAAGAGAACATGTCTTGATAAACAATGCATAGAATACACTTAACAATCACTAGCGCCCCTGCTTTGCACGAAATTCCAAACAACTGACCAATGACTACAGCTAATAAACAACAAAACAAAGTAGTCAACATTTGTCCAAGTGTTGAGGAGTTATGTTAATTTTACTCTTCCTAAATCTCCAAAAGTCTAATCCCCAAAAGACCAGCAACACACTCGTAACTCCTCTGATGTTGGCGTACATGAGTGGCACCGGTTGCTTAACATCAGGTAATCCGTCTGATCGAGTGACATTAAAAACACGAGGATATCGATATTCAGCTTAGAAAGAAATAAGATTCCTAAATCTATTGTAATCCTAAAACAATTCGGTAAACTACTTCCAGACTGTGTTGTCGGAAGACTGTGTTGTCGGAAGATAAACATTGGTGTTGACTGACAACCTCTTACGTAAACGCACTTCAAACACATGGGCCTACAGCGATCATTTCAAACTTGAGTGATGAGTGCTTCTCCTTATTATTTATGTGAATAGAATTCAGTTGCGAAATATTTATAGCTTAAGAATAAATCGTGTAAGAAGGTCTAGTCAAATAATTTACTTTTGAACCATTTGCAACGTAATGTGTCCATTTATTTCTTTTTTATAAACAACCTATTAAAATGTTGCATTGTAAATTTCACTTTGCTGTGCTCGACAGGGTCCATATTTGATCTATTTATGTCTAACATACCAACTATTTTCGCATGCAATAGTGTTGAGTATTAAGTCAATAACTTTTGTCTACAAATAGGTATACGTGCATTGAAACGATTTTATTATCATTTTTCGAGTAATACATATTATGTCCTTTCTTATATTGTTAAGATACAACTGACATACAATGTTGAATTAAAACATCGTTATCGACTACATGGACTTACAATTTTTAAATATGATATTGAATTCACCAATCCTGCTCGCGGTAGCAAAATCATAAGTGCTTATACTTTTCCGTGTGAGAAAAAGCCTTTGCACTTATAGAATGGTCATGCTCATCTTAGAAAAAAATCCCAATGTCCTCCATATTCTTCTTTCTATTGAAATTTTTGAATTTTACGACAAGAAGACATTACACACTTTTACTTATGGAAGTAGTAGTGAATAAGATAGGTAGTTTTAGAGCCTAAACAATTCAAACAAACGGTCAAATAAGTAATATTTCCTCTTTATAACACAAATGTAGAGTAAAGCAAACGAGACGGCGGGCCACCGGATTCGCCGACAAATTGTGAAATTAATTTCAGGGATAATGCAAACCTTGTTTACGGTAGTTTCCTTTCACTTTATTAATCTCCAGAGCTGTGTCTTAATACATGTGTATTATACTGATACTTACTGAACTTAAGCACACCGCCGAAGATGTCAGTAGAATTCTCCACAGTACTGCAATTCCATCTGCTGTGTGGGAACTGGTGCTGGCATTCTTCCACCGCCTGCTGGGCACCAGTCTGTAGGACCTGGAATCAGCAACAATACTTGTTAGACGATAAGCAATTACAAAGTTTGAACACTTTTGGGAATTCGGTAAGGCTTTTGATAGCGTTTTTCTTTCGCCTGCTCTATATTCCTGTTTAAGATGGAAACATGCTTTCTAGTTATAGTCGCTTGCTACGTATAATTTTTGGATCCCTACTCGCTGCAATGTTTTACTTCGTCGTACCTATGTATGCGGACCCTAAAATATCTTAGGAACTCCCGAACACTTAACCTAATTCTTTTAAAACTAAACCTTTTCGTTACATTAATATTCTCCGGTTTATACAGTTGCTTGCTTATATTTTAGCGTAAAAAAAACTTTGGACATCAAATAGCTATAAAAAATCGTATCACATAATAATCTTATATCGTTGAAGGCAGTAAAATTTCAAATTATACTCATAAACGCTGCTTAACCTTTTACGCAGAACGTAAAAACATTGATATTAAAGAAGCGGTCATTTTATAAAATAAATGTGTGTTCGTATCTTTTAGATGATGAGTCGCACAAAAACTTTTATTTAAATTACCAAAAAATATAACATTTTTCATATAACTTTATTCACATTTTTTTATGGGAAATACGGCAAACGAGCATTCGGATTACCTGATGGTAAGCAATTGGCGCTGCCCATGGACACCCGCAACACGAAAGGAGTTACGAGTGCATTGCGGGCGTTTTGAGGGATAACGATTGCGGATATATATAAGGTTCGGGAAGGGATTGGGCCTCCGATAACCTCACTCATACGGCGAAACACAAAGCTATGGTTGTTACATTTTATTTCATTATTTTTCTGATCTAATTTCTAAATATTATTTTGGTTCTTATTTTAACGAATTAAACTATGATACTAACAATTTACTCCTTTAACGCCTGCATAAAAACCAGTTACCATAGCAACCAATTACCATAGCAAAAATGAGCAATTTTTAAAATTAATTACTAAACTTATTTCTGCCTTTATAATTTTGTATTGTTACAATCGTTATTTTTGAATTCTTTTATTACTTATTTTTCAATTTATGAAAATTATATTTTCTTTTTTATTTTGTATCAATACAAAATATTTGGTGAATGTTATCACAACTTTTAACTTCATTATCTTGTATTCAATGTAAAGTTGTAAGAAATAAGGTAACAGCTAAATGGTTATCCATAAATTAATAAATAAATGAATATCACTCACGATAATACTCAGAAATGTTTATTTAAACAATTTCTAATTAATATTCTGTTCAGAAAAAATGCTAAGATCCCTATATTATGTAAAATTCCAGGTGCAATTAAGTGCCGTATTACCAGGTCCGGAGCAGGAGAAGGCACGGTATAGTTTTTATTTAGTAAGAGTCTGACACTCCCTCACGCCCAATCCAAGCCGAGAGAAGTCAGTTCATGACAAAAAAACCCCAAAAAAGGGAATAACATGTTAAATAACCATTAACTAAATCTGAGTACGGCGCGGCAATAAGTATTACATTAAAATGTAACGAAACAACGCCTACAATAATTATAATATCAATGTAACTTATAAAACAGTTTATTGAAACCGACTCGATAATAAATCACAACGATTAATTCAATAATTCTTACAATATCTACATAGCAATCTCAATTAACTGGGAAATCGTTAAGATTTCATTTTACGATCAAATTAATGGGAATTGCGAATAATTATTGTACTTATATACCTATGATTTTATTAACTAAAATAAAATTGACATTAAATAAAGTTGGAAAGGATGAGACTTCTTTTATGTGGTCGTTACTGTTACATTCGTAACTGTAATGTTATGGCTATCCTTCGGCATTCTATTTAGACATAATTTAGTTTGATAATAATATCTTGACTGTAAATTGGTGGATGACAAAATAATGGCGACGAATTATCTGATGGTAAGCAACTAGTGCCGCCCATGGACACCCGAGCAGAGGAGTTGCAAATGCGTGGTTGGCCTCTTGGGGATAAGGGGTTCTTGAGCGGAAAGGAAAAGGTGAAACACAACTCGGGTTTTCGGTGTGGCCATTTTTTTGTGTGATAGGTTGACAAAAGAGAGTTATGAGTGCGTTGCCGACCTTATAGGGAATAGGGATTTGGAGATTTAGGGATTGGGGAAGGAAAAGGATTGGACCACTGGGAACCTCATGCCATAACGTACCGTGCCGTGGTAATACTGAAATGCTAAGATCTACTACTGAAGTCGTACTATGATCGCCAAGAATTAAAAACGAAGATACTGCTGCTTATTCCAAGGTAGCTTGCAATCTTCGACAATGCCAACTTTGGTACTCCAAAAATAAAAATAAATCTCCTTTTATTTTGCGTTAATGAAACTTCAGCTTTACTCCTGCCTGATAGTAAAAACATTTTATCGTACCCATGTAATGTAAGTCCATAAGATCTATATCTAATAATACGTAGTAGCTTTAATTTGATTTTTATTAATCATTTAAATTTTATTGCGAACCAGTTCTGTGTGCATGTTTTACAAACTAAGTATTCATATCGACAGGTAGTGTTGCAAGCGCCATAAAGTATGGCAACCGCGAATGTTTCAAGTGGCAATGATAATCTATACTTATTTATATTAGAAAGAGGTAAAATTTGTAAGTTTTTATGTAGGGACTAACGGCGTCTTTACTCTCTGATTAAGGAACCTTAATGCAAGGAACCAAGCGTGAAACCAAGCCTTAACACCTTTCACGTATGAGCACCTCTAGCTAATCGAGTTATTTATGCAGGCAGAATTGAACTGACTTACTTTCCGAGTCGAAGTGACAAGCGTAGGCGATATACACGGAGTATTGACACTATGGAGTTCCAAGCAAAGTCAAAAGTATAAATTGCAGAGTTTTAATAATATTAAGTAGTATTTGTTATACTTCTATCTTGTCAATCTTACAAATATTATAAATGCGAATGTAACGATGTTTGGATGTTTGTAACTCAATCACGCCAGACGGATCTAGATGAACAGGCATAGGATACCCTCCGGAATAGGACATAGGCTACACTTTATAAACGAAGGACTGGACGAAGCCGCGGGCGGAAGCTATTGTGTTATAAAACTTATATATATTATTTTATTTTATTTTTTTAATTCACTTATTTACGTTTTTATAATGAGACACTATTAATCTTTTTCATATTACACGAAGACAATGTTATTACTTTTTCATTTATATGATGGCGGAGATGTGGTAAATATTATCATAACAAAAGCATGTCTCGTTTATTGTCAAACTTTCAAAAAATTTAAATAAGTATTTTAAGTGTAGGAGAGCCTCTGCGCGAATGATAACACGGCCCCAGACAATACCGTGAAAGGCGTGAAATAACACATAGTTGTGTTTCACCATGTGAGTGAGGTTACCGAAGGCCCAATTCTCCCCCTTTTCCTCATTCTGAATCCAAATCCTCTATCCTTATAATCCTTATATCCCAAACAATCCACAGAAAGTCGGCAACACTCTTTTGGTATCTCCTTTGAATACGACTAATGTCCATGGGCGGCTACAATTGCTTACCTTCAGGTAATACGTATGCTCGTTAGCAGACCAATCTCATAAAAATACATAAATATGGGTATGCCAGAATTATGATGTTTTTAATTTTTATGAGCCTACCACAAAGGGAGACAGGTTTGGCAAAATCTCTCCATTCACTCTATCATCCGTGCTACTAGCCCACACAATAACACAAGTATTGGACGTAATCATTGTTTATGCACGGACTTGCATATGCAATTTATTTACGACCTCGGCTTGTTTAAGAGTACACGTTTTTCTAAGCGTTAATAAAACTATTTAGCTTTTAAAACAGAAACGTATAATAAACGTATTTTCATAAGGGTTTCGTCACCCTTGGTTTCTTGTGTCTGTCTGATTTCTAGCTTATTTCATTTTTTTTTCATAAAAACTTCTTTCGCGGCTCTTGTTTTTCGGACTGCGCACCGTTAACAATATATCTGACGCGTATATCTTCATCTATCGTCCCATTGTGATTTAAAACTAGAAGAGCTTTTTTCAGTAATTTGAGTAAATTGAAATTACTTTCAATATATTTATTAGCATCTTATCCCGGTTTTGGTATTTTTTATTTTATTTTTTGTTACCTATGTTTCTATCAATGGATTTTCTCAATTTCTGAATACGGAAAGTATGCAACTGTGAGTGATGACGTCAAATTTTGTAAATCAATGCTGATATTTATAATTGACTAGCTATTCTCGCGCGGTTTCGCCCGCTACTCGGCTCAATTTAATCGTAGCGTGATGTTTTATAGCCTATAGCACTCAGTAATATTGTAGCTAACTATCAGTTAATTTTGGCAATCCGACCAGAGCGGTTCCAAAGATTACTCCCTACATACAAAGTTACAAATTTTACCTCTTTATAATATTAGTATAGATTGTGCAAGAGTGCAGTACAAGGAAAGTATTATTATAAGAGCTATGATACAGGAGAAGACGTTAATATAAGACACCTTAAAAAATAAACATCAAACAGTTACAAAAGTCTCCTAATCTTACCTTAATCATAGTATCAGACAGCATACACAGTTGCTTCTGTCGCTCGACTAGAAACTCTAATCTGTGGCAGTTCTCTTTGTGCAACGCCGTGAAAGTCTCCAGCGAGGTATTACCGATCTGTGTCTGCGGACGGGGAGCAGCTAGGTTCCTGTAAAGAAAGAAATTAGGATTAGTGAAAGTTATCCTACTAATATCGAATCCTTCCCCTCCCCTAATCCCAAGTCTCCAAAACCTAAATCTTCAAAAAGCCGGCATTGCACTTGTAAGTTTGGCCTTTGGAGTGGACACCCGTCCACGGGCGGTACCGATTGCTTACCATCAGGAAATCAGACGGCTCGTTTGCCACCTTATAATAAAAAATATAAACGTGAAAGTTCGTAATTATAGATGGATGTTTGTAACACTTTCCCGTACAGACTATAGAACGGAACTGCTTGAATTTTTATACAGAGGTAGATTATGGTCTAGAATAACTTGTATATGGTATTTCGGATGAAGCCGCTTTGCAGAAAATTTATTATCAGCATAATTTCAGTGGTTGACTTTTTAGAGTGCTTTTGTTTCAATGACTTGCCCGCCCAGGTTGAGGAGGGAGAGAGTGTCAGACTCTTACTGGCTAAAAACCCTCGTTCCTTCTAATGCTCTGGGCCGAGGCCGCGGTGCCTCATTACGCTTGCCCCGCAACCTCGGCTGAACATCAACCTTAGACTTTTTTTTAAGGTAGATGTGGATTAGATTAGGTGATCAATCTTAAATTTATCATTAAATCAGTTGATTTTTTTAAACTTAAGCGGTTTATAATATTCTACAGGGTTTTCGATGTCAGGTATACACAAAATCAAGTAAACGTAGTTAAAGGCTTACATATGAAAAGCATGTTGTGAATCAATTTATTGCTTTATGGTTGTCATTTTGTTTTTAATTTCAAATTGAGTTCTATTATAGGTAAGTATTAATCTGAGCTTTACAGATATATTTGTAAGTTTGTAAATTCAACTATAATTTGTAGGAAATCTTTAAATAACTAACTAATTTACATTCGACAATGTTTTCGAAATAGGTACCGGGATACTATTCACGATCCTTTAACACAAACTACAAAGACTGAAATGTATCCCGTAGTCATAGCACAAACACTTGAATGTCGACAGTTCCTGACAAACACAGGATAGTGGTTACTAAGAAATAAACATAGCTAATTTGCTTGTTTTGTAATAAGCCCCCACACTGAAGTACTAAACGAGTTCCGTGTAATAAAATAACAATGTTGAACATCATAAAATGAAAAGCCAGCTTAACACACGAGAGTCCTTAAAGAAACAATAGCAAAAATATAAGGTAATTAAAAGTCGAGACGTCCGCTCGATGCGGCCTCCTCCACTCAAATGCGAAATGCCACTTGAATAAAACAAAACTCGCTATTACCTACCCTCGGCTTTTGTTCCATTTTTCGAAAAAATATTCTCTATTCAAACGGACCAATGCGAGGCGGGCGCGGCACGACCGTTGATTGGCCGACGACCTCTCAAGTGCAAGTGGAAATAAAAGTGCTTGGGTAAATGAGGCGTGTTGTCTCTTTCTGGCTTGTTGAATAAGTATGGCGTTGTTTCGTTCTGTTTTTCGTTTTAATTGCAAGCTTGAGAGGATGTGTAAAGGGTTGTAGGACCTTGAGTGTTGCACGTGCACCGGAGTTCCGTCGGGGTAGCGCATTCAACGGTTAAATAGAGGAGGGAACGTTGTTTACGTCATCATGTAATTAGATAGGATTTGTGACGTAATAAGTCCCAGTAGCGAGGTCAATGGTGCTTGATAAAAACCTTCTTATATCGTGAACCTCTTTTTTGCTTCTATTAGGCTTAATTAGTACTTGTTGGATGTTTTAATTTGCTAAAGTTTATTCAGGTGTAGCTTTACTATTATAAGTGGTGCGGTGTTGTTCTTAGTGTTGGTGAAAATATAAGGAAATAATCTTCGTAATTATACAATGGAAGACATGAAATGGTGAATGTTCTGGCCTCCTCTTCATAGGAAGATCTGATACTAAATTACTTTTCTCCACTATATATATAATGGATATTATTGTATATATAAAGTTTCTTCTTTAGACACTGTATCTTTTAAAAAAGACGGCATTAAAATCCGTTACGCAGATTTGAAGATGTAAATGTACTTACATAGGGATATAGGGTCAGAGAAAGCGAATTTGGTTCATATTATGTAGTGACAAATCAAAATTAATTTTGATAAGCAAACATCTTCATACCTTTCTCGTGTTTTAGGGAGTAAGATGGCCAAGTCTGTCAGCATTACCGCGTGGGATGGTCATGATTCATTTTATCTAAGTTCATTAAGTATAAACCATCCTCTTTTTAAAAAAGGATAAGCACTAGCCCATGGCATGAAAACATTATAAACAATAAATTCTTGGAACCAAAACCACCAAACTCCTTAAAAGTACCATAATACAACCTTAATTTAAGCCATTTTAAATCTCTCGACTATTTGCAAAAGACTATTAAAAAAAGCCGGAAGCCACTTAGAAATGGTAAAAGCGGAAATGGATCGCTTGGTTGTAAGTTGGTAACACAATTAGTCAGTGTAGCCAACCTTATGGGGTGTGGACACGCGATGCATAGGTTTGTAAACTTTTTGTTTTTTCCTTTTTTTATTTTTAACTGATTTTGCGTTATCGCGTCGCGTTATAATGCAATTAAATACTTTAATCTTGATATACATATACCAGATATAATAATTATAAAATTAGGTTCTTATCTCTGCTTTTAATTTTTAATATATTATCTTAATATTTTTTAATAATTTATTAATCGGTATCTCCAGGTAGGTAATGTTGATGATGATTGCTTTTGATGTTGTCATTCGCTTAACATGATTATTTTCTATTTATCATCACAGTATGTACCTCTTTCCTCATAGAAACTAAAAATAATAAATTATTTTTGTGTTTAAAATTTTAAAACAATAAAGTTTTTTTTGTTACTATTAAAACATATTTTGTTTCACAATATTAGTAACGGTAATTCTTTGTGTTTTTTTTTTCTTTTTATTAATATTTTTTTATTTAGTATTACATAAATTATGTCCATAGGCACTTAGGCAGAGACAATTGCGTACCATTAAGTAATCCATCTGCGCGTTTGCTGACCTAATAATATACGACATACAAAATTACATTTATTTTAACACATTACAACAGTTCCCACATAACGTTTACTTAAAAAATAAAGACTTTAAATATTGAACGTAATAAAAGTGTAATAACTTAGCGGTTTCTTTAAAAAAAATAAGCCAAAGTAGACAAAGTTCAAGTTAGTACGTTCACAACACGTTTCGTTTTACCGCTAACTACGTTAACTTAAGCAATTACTTAAAAATCTTTTAAAGCAAATATTTATTATGTGTCCGTGTGAACACAGCTTATCGGAGCCCTTGAAAGGTGTTTTCGAATGTCGAAATGAAGATTTCGATAGAGAAAGGTTTTTGTCGATACTCGTCTATGTAGAACTGGCTTTAAGCTAACATCGAGTTTTTCCTTATGGGGGTGAAAAATTTCCCTATTTGATATTTCATAGAAAAAAATATCCCAATGCTTATATACATTCAGAGGGATTTAACAGATTTCACGTAAAAAACACATAATTTCATTTCAGGGAGGAGGGGCAGAATTGGGCCCTCGCTAACCTAATTTGCTTTACTCGCACAACTTATGAGTTGTTTCACGCCGATATTCTGTGAGGCCTTGGTTTCACTCTGGTGGAGCTAGCCCATTTGCGCCAAAGCACGGCTCTCATACACTAACTGAGTTGAATCGATTTTAAAACTGGAATCGATTAATCCCAGTACCGTATTTCCAACTACAAAACAAGGTAAAACGCATCCAATCGAATAGTTGTAACTGACACTTCGTGACGTAAATAACCTCTAGAGTTGGCGACCAAACAGAAATTACCATAAATCGCTGCTCTTGCGCATTTATCCCACTTTATTTGATTCCAATTTTAAAACGTCAATATTTTAAATTGTTAAACTGACAAGAATGTCTTTGGTTTCCGATATTATTATCTGTGTAGAAATGTTTGCTTGCTTTAAGTTAAGCTTTGAGCTCTTAGAGGGAATTTAAATAGATTTGAATGTGGTTAATAAAACATACTATTTTAATTATATAGGTATTTATAGTTTTATCACAGTGGTGTCTTTTAGGAACTTCAAAATTAAAATAATATTTATTTTAAACGATTTGTTTTTGCAGAACTTTTATACACACAAATAGCAGAGACACATAAGGCAGACTTAATGTCATATAATAATTATACTTAGGACTAAGTATTTAAGGTTCATTTTCACATCAATTCATATCCCCCATCCCTATCTTCTGTCTACCTTAGCTTAGCTTCGAAACTCCATAATTAAGTAGATACTGGCCATTTACACTAACCAATGAACCAAGCCACATTAGAATCTTAAAAAAAAAACTTCAAAAATGCCATTCACATATTTCAAGCCACGAAACCTTTGCTACCTAATATGCAGTTTTGCAGTGATAATCTCCAGTCGGCAAGGTGGCAGCGATTTCACGGCTCACCTCGCACTAATAAAGTTTCTATCCCAATAGTAATCGACGTTAGTTATAGAACGACATTTTTAAAGAATTTGAGAAAGGGAGGTTTTGAAGACATTAAAAAGGTGGAAGAATATTCTAGAATAATTTTCGATTGTTTGAATATTCGAAGGAGATTTGTGTACACCTCCTTTGAAGAGTATTTGCTTTTATTATTTTTTAGGATTGATTGACAAACCAATTGCCTGATGTTAAGCAATCGACACTACCCAAGAACACATGCGACACAAAGGAGTTAGAAGTGCCTGAGGCTTAGGATATTAAGGATGAAAGTAAGGCGGATCAGGCCTTCTGTAAGCTCATTCAGACGGCGACTAATCACGAAAACATTGTTTCACGCCGGTTTTCTGTTTTACATTCCGGCTTAAGCAAGCGTGGTGATTAATTCTCAAATATTCTCAGTGTGAGAAGAGGCCTTTGCTCAACAGTAAACACTTAAAGGCTGATATACAGTAGATAAGAAAAAGTGTAAAGATAACAAATATCCTACCATTTCATCTGCCAATAATAAA